AGTGTATGTCACAAAACTCTTCAGATCAGTACTCAGCCCTCTTGGTTCATCATATTTTTTAAACTTTCCTTTTCTGCCCTTTAGAAGTATTGTAAAAAGGCAAAAAATTCACTTCTTTTCTTTTTTTTCCCCTAAAACTTTATTTTAATAGCATTCATTATCCCTTGCAGCAGATGCTGAAGACAAGCAGGTAGCAGACTGACTAGAAGCATCTGAGATCGGGTACAGATACTGTTTTTAAGATTCAGTTCAAAGTGCTTAAACACACATCTAAATCCAATTAAAATCAAGTGTTTGCTTCAGGTTAAACAGGACACGAGCAAAACAATTTGTTCTGATGAAAAATAAGGCCATGCTTTGTACGAGCAGGACACGTCACGGTGGGCATCTCCTCCCCCCTGCCTGTGACAGACCTGAGCCACGAGATTCATGTTCAGCCCTAGAGCAAAACAGAATTTTGATGTTGTTTCTTCCAGGTTAACATCGCCCTGTGAGTATTTGAAAAGCACAGGAGGGTTCCTTAGGCAGCTCAGCAATTAGAGGGCCAGCCCTTGTGAGGCTGCATCTGGAGCAGCTCTGGGCTACTCACTCCAAGAGGGACGTGGAGTTCCTGCAGCAGATCCAGCAAAGATGGAAGGTGATGGAGGGATGGAATATCTCTCTTATGAAAAAAGGCTGAGGGATCTGGGGCTGACTTCAGAAATGGTGACTGAGAGGGGACTCACCAGTGTCTATAAGAATCTGAAAGGCCAAGAGGATGGACCAGGCTCTGCTCAGTGGTGCAAGGCAATAGAACAGGAGGAAATGGGCAGAAACTGATGCACAGGAAGTTCCACCTGAGGAAGAACTTCTATTACTGTGTTGGTGACTGGAACAGCTTGCCCAGAGAGGTTGGAGAGATATTCCCACTGGAGATATTCCAGAAATGTCTGGATGCAATCCTGTACAATGGGCTTTAGGATGACCCTGTTTGAGCAGGGAGGTTGGACCAGTGACCCACTGTGGTCTCTTCTGACCTCACCCGTTCTGTGATCACAGAAACACCAGCAAGCATCAGGACCTGCTGGAGCAAATCCAGAGGAGGTCACCAAGATGATGAAAGGCCTGGGGCACTTCTCCTGTGAAGACTTCCCCTGGAAGTGTTCAGTGCTGGTCTGGATGGGACCTTGAACAACCTGGTCCACTGGAAGGTGTCCCTGCCCATGGCAGCCAGGTGGAATCTGAGGTTCCTTCCAACCCAAACCATTCTCCGATTCTATGATTTTGCTATTTAAGCAGGAACTTTCTTTTACCATGTTGAACTCTGCAGTCAAATTAGGGAAAGCACTCTTTATTTCTTTATTGTACACTCTGCTTTTGGGACATAAATTTCAGAAATATGGAAAGGCCACTTCTTCGACACCAAAATCTTCAGATAATTGTTAGCCAATTGTTAGCCAATTGGAATAGTAAACACCACATGTGCTTAAGTTGTATTTTCTCAATTATAAAATTTACACACAAAAATTACTATTGTCAAATACTCCATGACTCAAGTTTTAATTCATTTTGAAAGACATCAATGAACTCCATCTTTTTGGCAGATAGCTGTTCCAATGTTCCAGCAGGTGGAATACAAGTAGGCCATGTGCTTAATTTGGTTGGCTATTGATATCGTAGGGTAATTTTTTTGCCCTCAGTGCCATCAACCATAAAGATATTTCAAGTACACATAATTAGTTCTTAACAAAAGACAATTAGATCCAACAAAACACCTCACTTGCTCCAAGGTCTTAACAAACTGAGCTTGAAAAGGGCACTTGTACAGTAAGAAAAAACTCAAGGAAAAAAAAAGTATTGCAGATGATTTTTTTAATAATTGTTGAGATCTTGGTGTTTGGCTTTGGTATTTTTCTTTTCCTAAAACCATATTATGTTAATATGTATTTTCTCTTTACTTACACAACATTTAATGACCAATTTAAGTACTTTTGCAATTGTGTATTAATTTCTCTCAGTTAAGCACTCAAGAGTGCTTGAGTAAAACAAAATCCTGGCTTGCATACTATAGAATACATTTTGATAAACAGCTGCTCAGAATTGTGCTTAGTCAAAATATTCTAATCAAAATATATCAATGGACAGGGCCTTTATGTAACAGTTCATGATATATTAGTTTCTCAATATATTAGTTTCTCCTACTCTTTCATTTTAATTTTTTTTTAATCACCAATCTCTGCTTTTCACCTTCTCTTTAGCAAAAAAAAAAGTATGCTGCTGTTTTCCATTGGAAATTTCCTTAATTTTTATACTTCTCTACAACCTAAATATTTCATACCAATGTCAAGTTCTCCCTATGTTACATTGATTGGTTGTTCTCACTAGTTCCTTGTACAAAACCAGAATCAATATCCCTTTCTGACAGTTCTTCTAACACATTCATAAATAAAGGGTTATGTTTTCCTCTAACACACATGTACTTACTTGATTTTTAGCAGCTTAAGTGTCTGGGAAAAATCACACACTATTACCTAGGCAAGTACAAGATTATTCTTCAGAGTTTCTATGGGAGAAAATGGGGGGGAAATCCTATCTGACAGCTCTCCCTGTAGCAGAAGAGCTGCATGATGAATTCAATACATGGGATTAAAATAAATAAAAGCAGTGTTTTGGGCCATATAATCAGAGTTGCACACCCAGGCCTCTTCTGCATTACTGTCGAAAGCATTCAAGATTAACCTGGGGCAAAGGAGGACAGGTCTGTGTACATTCTTCAAATTCTGCTGTTACCCAAATAGTCTGTCTTGTTCACTCTTTTCCCACTCCATAAAGCCACACATCGTGCTTGTGCACACTCTGCATGGTGAGGTAATAAACCAAGAGCAACTCCAAACGACAAAATCACTTCTCTTTCCAGTTCAGTGAACTGGGTCATGCAATAAGCACAACAATTTGCATGATGATTGTAACCAAAAAATTAAAATAAATATTTCATACATATATAATATATATATCTAAATTAAAGGGAAATGTTTCATGCATAAATAATGTTCTTATATATATACATATATCCCTGTAGAATTGGAAGAGGTGGCACCAGAAAGAAAACAAACCAAAACCATGTTTCAATGTAATAATGACCCACTGCTTTTCAAGCAGCAGTTTGAAGTAGTAATTAGAATATGAAAGCTGGGAAGTATTTACTACAACATATAAATGCATTTATAAACATATTTATAAACATATAAATCCTTCTTAAGCAACTCCTTTACCAGATTCCCTTTGTTGTCAGGTTCTTGAGTTAAACTGTGCCACCCATGAGCATGATTTAAAACTTACTTCCACAGAAGAGTTGAACAAGAAAAATTACTGTGTTGCCTGTTCAGTTTGTGACAAGTCTGGATTTCAGGCAGCATCTTGAAACTCAGAAAAAAAAATTAGAAATTACATGGATTTTTTTTAATATTTCTGTCTCTCTGTTTTCTATGCTCATCCACCAAAGCAATCATATCACATGCTCATTTCTGAAGCTAAGACTTCTATTAAAAAGCAGCAGTGAGTCATACAGAATACACTTTGCTTGCTAGTGTGATGATATCATTATTACTGTCTCAGTGACACTACTGTAACACCATTGCTATTGAATGTCTAGGGATGATCTCACTGGTCATCAATTTATTTAAAGTTGGAGCATTTTAAAATACTTAAAATATTGCTGTTCACAGGAATAGGTTTTATTCAAGTGTAGTTAACCGTAAAATCCCAAAATAACTTCCTCAGGAAATAATTTCAGCAATATTCTAAATTTTAACTAGGAACTTTATCTCAAGTAAAGGTACAGGATGTTCCAGTTTCACAAACTTGTGTTTTTGTGTCTGCATCATGTTTTTTTTATTTTCATAAATTTTTGAGCCTGAGAACACCAGAAAGCATTTTATTGTCAGTGTAAATGGAGATGATTCATATAATAATATTTAAAGAAAATGACCCTGAAATTCAAAGCAAAATGACGTGGTGGTCAAGAATATATTTTTTCATTATATCTTTGCACTGGATGATGTTAAGTCCTCACTAGTTAAAATTAATATAAATGTCATTCTTATAAATAAAAATAAAAAGGAGTAGATGTTTTTCAAACATGAAGAAATATTAAAAAAAGGAGCTGCAGACCAACAGATTTCATCTTAATTTATAGTGCAATATCATACAAAAGGAATAAAATGCAGCTCTTTATAAAGACTATCTGAATTTAGTAGATTAGACTACCTAAAGAGCACTTTTTAAACAAGTTCTTAGCTAATGGTTCTATACTAACAAAATGCAACAGACCCTCTTAAATCAAGAATGAATTGAAACACAGTTGGATGTTAAAAACACTTCTTTGTCTGTTTGACATAATGAATAGTACAAATAAAAAATGTTTGACTGCTAATAAAACAATCTAAACCTCAAATATTGTGTTTAAAAGAAATTTGGAAATCCTTACAGAAGTTGGTTTCACATCAAAATTAAAATCTGTACCGTGGGAATTTTGCTGATCTCTGCTGATAAAAATATTATTTAATAGTACAGGATATTATTATATATATATGATGTAGTATATAATTTAGTATTATATAATAATATAATATTATATGTATATATAATACTATATTATTATTTAATACTATAGTAAATGTCTATTAAAGTGGTAAAAGCTAGCAGGGAGGACACATTTTCATTCTTTAGATACCACATTAATCAGGGTTTCGATGCTGTTAAAAATGACACAAAGGATTAGCACTGAAGCATTCAGCAATTTGGGCCCAAAACCAGGTCTCCAAGTAGGGAAACACATCTCAAGCTGCAGCTCTGCTTAAAATTAATTCTCTATTGCATACATCAACGTCCCTGAATGTAAGCTGCACATGAGCACAGGTAACTTACAAAACATAAACTGCTTTTTTCTTTCTTTTCTTTCTTCTAAATCTTGTTGAAGCTGGTGAGCACAGATGCTGATGCTGAAACTTTGGCAATCTCCTGACAATAAGTCAAACTGCAAATAAGAACAAAGAAATGTAAATGGGCATCTTATTTTCACTCCATTTATTATAGCATTTTAGAAGTGTTACAGGGGGTTGGTTGTTGTGTTGGGTTTTTGTTTTGCTGGGGTTTTTTTTCCCCTGCTTTGAAGTTTCAGGTTTTGTTCTGAAGGTGGTTCCCACACAGGGATTGTCCTCGCCGCTCCCCTTCCCTTCAGACCCACCCACCCCTGCTGTGTCAGCAGCACATGAGCTGAACACTTCTAAAGCTTCCTGTAATTAAGTTCACCGTGTTGCATTACTGGCAAACATGTTCAGACTTATTTTGGATACATTTGGGAAATAATAGCTTTTCAGAGTCTGCAATGAGAAGCAACTCGGGCTACTGAAATAAAGTGTGGTGAGGACTGTGTCTCGTAGCGATTTTACGTGTGGCAAATTCCCTTGGTGCCTCGGTACTTTCATCAGAAAATAAGGAACATTAATTTCTGTTGTTTTGCATCAGAACTGACATAAGTTTACAATAATGCCTGTGTCTATAGTGTATTGCTTGTGTGTGCACCTAGGATGGGATTTAGTTCACAAAAGCCGAGTATGTGGTTCCATTTCAGACACAATTTGGGCACCCTGCCTGGACTCCACTGCCTTTCCACAAGGCTTCTGGTCCCCCCTCAGTTCATTTGTCATGTTTCCAGTCCCCATAAAAACATTTCCAACATCCTAGGGCAACTTAAAGTTGCACAAGGCACGTAGGCTTTGGCAGTAGATTCCATCCCACTCAGAATTATGTAAACTACGACAGAGTAATTTTCTGGCACATTTTTATGCATGTGAAAAATACTAGCCCAAGATCCTTCAAGAAACAGAGTGTCTCATTTCATGCCATGACACAACAACAAATAGAGCAAGGGAAAACTGGGGATGTACAATTATCTGGGTAATTCTCAACCCTAACAAGAAGTTAACACAGTTCAGTGCTGTGCAATAAGAAGCTGACTTTCTTTTGCCAGCTGGGACACACAGCTCAGCAGTCAGATGTTTCATTGGAAGAATTTCTGCCTCAACAAAGAAACAGCAAAATACCCACAACAAAACACAGACCCAGTGATCCTGTGGCTTGTGCTAGGCGGACATGCTGATGGGGCCAGCGCTGAGGTGACACAGAAGTCACCTGCCGGCCTGAGAGGTGGCACTTTGCAGGAGTACTGCATCCGGCTCTGGGCATGGACCAGGAAAGACATGGACCTATGGAAGCAGCTCCAGAGGAGGGACACAGAAATGGTCAGAGGGATGGGACACCTGAGCTGTGAAGACAGGCTGAGTCTGGTCAGCCTAGAGAAGAGAAGGTTCTGAGGAGACATTAGATTGTCCACTGAAGGCAAGAGAATCGCAAGAGGGACACTACAAAAGAGCCACAGAGGGACTTTTTACAGGGGCATGTAGTGATAGAAGAAGGGGGAATGTCAGTGGGTAAGTTATGTCAAACATTGGGAAGAAATTCCTCACTACTAGGGTGGTGAGACACTGGCACAGGCTGCTCAGACAAACTGGGGGTGCTCTACCCTGGAAGTGTTCAAGGCCACATTGGATAGGGATTTGAGCATCCTAGTCTAGTGAAAGGTATCCTTGCCAATGCCAGGGGCTTGGAATAGTTGACCTTTGGAAGGTCCTTTCCAACCCAAAACGTTCTATAATTCTATGTCTTGCCCTGTCCCCAGCAAGGTCAAGTGAAGATGCACCATCATGGCACATGCAGCTCTGGGACAGTCCTACCATCCCCAAAACATGTATTTTATCCTGCTCAGATGGCAAATGAGACACCAAAGCCTCTCAGCTACACTGCCCAAACAGCAAACACAGCAGAAAGACAGCCCTGGATCTCTGCAGCTCCTCCAACCATGATGAGAAACATCAAAACAGGCCTGAAATCTGCTTTTGGCCTCCCTCAGGGGTTTTGGCCAGCCTCAGGGGTTTTGATCTTTCTCTGCCTCAGAAAGGGAAAAGGAAACCAGCCACTACTGACACGAATCCTTTGTATCCATTTTCTCTTTCTACAATGTATGGAAATCAGGCTTTCCTAAAATACTGCTATTTCACCCTCATTGCCCTGACTTTTGCTTTGGCAGTGTAAATTAGAGCTGGTGTGGTTTTTCCACATCCTCAGACAACATGTTAGGAGACCAGATTCCTGCTTTTCTAAAAGGACTATATCCATCTGCAAGTTTGGGAGCCCAAACAGATCTCCTCCTGGAAACTATTATTACATCTGCTCTTCTAAATGATCATTAGGACTGGCTGAAACTATTACTGTAAATGGGCCTCCAACTACAAAGTTTCTCAGGGAACAGCTGCATTTCTTAGAGCAAGGGAGGTGGTGGTGGGGGAAGCAGTAAAAATCTTTCAGTTCATGGCTACTTTCTAGATTTTATTCTTTTTTTTTAACTATTAGAAGAAAGCTTTCATATTTCTGAGGCACTTTCTTTAAAAATCTCTGTGAAAGGAACATCTTCATTAAAGCTGGCCTTGAAAAAGCCACTAATGGGAATGCTCAATTTTAAGATCCTCCTTTGAGGGACAGATTTACACTCCAAGGCAAACCACATAGGCATTTAAAATATTTTCAAAACCAGGGCACGGAAAGCTGAAGAATCTCAGCATCTGCGAAAATGTGACTCTAATTTGTAATGCTGAGAACACTTAAAAACAAGGTCTTTATTAAGGAAATAAAAATGAATTCTGACTCATTGATGTTAAACTGGTATTAAAAGAATCTGGAAGTCACACAACAGCACTGAAGAAGAGAAAGGAGAGAGATTCAAGGAAAGTACAGAAGAACAGAGGAGATTAATAGGTTTAAAGGAAAAAAACTCATAGGTTTAAATATAAATGTACTATGAGATGCTATTCCTGCCTGTTCCCTTACTTTGTAGGTCTTGTTCAGATACATGGTAGAAAAGGAATGTGCTGAACCTTTTTGAGCCATTCAGTTTTAATAGTAAAAGTAATTTTCTCAGGTGGGCACTGAACAGTGGCAATTACAGTTTATTTTGCCAGAGAAATTCTTTTAAGTCACTAATGGTATGAGACTGAGGGTAAGGAATGTCAGCACAGCATGTCTCCTAAGCTTGATACCAGCAGATTTGCAGAAGACCCAGAGACAACAAATGGTATTTTTCTGTTGAAATCTCAAGGTGGTTTATTTCAAATGCACTTTACCTGCGGGTAGTGAAAAATAATGAAAATATTCCAACTGTGGTCACGCAGATATTGCTATTCTTATTCTCAAGATCCATTTAAGCTCTAGCACAGTTTTCTTTGGGCTATCAAAACCATAAGAATTTCCTTCCATGAAAGACTAAAATTTTCACTATCTACTTTTCATTCCCATTCACTCCATGGTTCCTTAAAAACTTAACCCCTCTTCACACCCTACCTAGTAATTATGCTATTTCTTGTAAAAGTCCACGCTAAAGGTCTGTCTCTTTTTTTGAAACAAAGACTGCTTAAGCACCATATCATACATGGCAGGTTAGTTCTACAGGCAGGAACTTGTAGCAGAAAACTAAATAGTAAAAGAAAGTTGTCTTCTTTTAGCCCCCTGATGTCACCATATCACAAAATTAATTAGGTCAGAAAAGACCCATGAGATCATCAAGTCCAACTGTTGATCTCTTTTGAAAATTCTGCTGGGGTTGGGATTTCTTTTTCTGGGTTAAGAAGGTCTTGGTGGTTTTTTGGGTTTTGTTTTTGTCTTTTTTTTTTTAATTATTTGTCAACTTCATTCAACAAGTCAATGTTTAAAACCCCCATGTCTTGTTACCTAAAACACGCTGGCAGCTGTTTTCTCACTGTTGGAGTAGTTCTTCATAAACTTCTATATTTAATTTACACATGAACTTGGTTTTATAAATTACTTTCTGCACACCCATTAAAAGTATACTAGAGACCAGCATCACAATATGATAAGTGAACTACATGGAAGATATGATAAAATCTTATTTTTTGAATTATTTTTTTTATTGACTAGACCTGAACAAGGACAGAGGTTGATCTTTGCTATACAGGCAGTTCACAGGAGGTCACCTTATCACTGCAGTGTTATTTAGCTTTGGCTTGGTTGAACTTTCCCAACATCTTTATGATAAACAAAACAATTTTTCCATTACTAAAGGCCACTCACCTGAGAGCTCAGGGTCTCAGGACTTGCATGGTTTGTCTTCACTTTGAGCTGATTTTAGCCTTAAAAAAAAAAATGAAAAAGAATAGTATTTGTGATAGCAGTTGCCTGGTGGTCAGCTAACTACCAACTACATTTTTTGTCAGATTTCCTTTGGTTTTACAATGATAACGAGCAGCTACTCATGTTTCTAGAATGAAATGAAGTGCAAAAGGGTGCAGAAGAGTACCAGAGGAGCAGGTGATCTGGCAGAAACCATAGCTGTAATTCAGAGGTCGCTACAGGATTGCAGCCTTCCATTGTTCAGGTAAAGCCAGCTTTGGAACAAAAAGTGAATGGTTAGGAACTAAGGACAAAAGTGAGCACCTAAGCTGTGCTCAAAAGAAATTCCAGAAATGAAGTCTGTGGAGGGCAGGACTATCATCTGTCTTCTCCCAGTAAATGGATGAAAGCCCTTAGGACAAGACCATATGCCTCCCAGTTATGACTGGATGCTGATAGCTCATTCTGAGTCCATCTCTTTCTTTCAGGAAGGCTGAAGCCACCAGTCTTTGAATCCAGAGGGTTTCTAGAAAGGACTTTTTATTTCCCCCAAAAAGCAGTATAACTGCATTATGATTTTTTTTCCTATATGAATTTGAATTATTAATACATACTATTGTAACTAATAAATCAGACTATTATGCTGTTAAATCATTAACTGGAGTAACAATAATTTCCCAGCTTCACCTGTGACTGTGCTCCTCTTTTTGCCCAAGGAAGAGTTTTGTATAATAAGCATAAAGCATGATGACTCTCCCTCTCTCTTTATATAAACATATGCATATATTTATATAGAGACACACAATAAAAAAACCCAACAAAGGGAGCTCACAACCATGTATTTAAAAGATGCACATCATTCTAATTGACAAAGGATATTAGAAAATTAAAAGAGATGTGTGAACACCTATAGTTCTTCAATCACATGTGTATTTACTCTGACAAAACTTGGCAGGAATAGTTTTGCTCATTTCAGCTGTAACTTGGGAGGTTATTTCATCTGTAAACAACAGCAAGAAGAAGATATAAAAAAATAGCAATATCATAAACTTGCTGCAATCTGTCCTAGAAGGATCAAATGAGTTTTCATCAACAAATCTTTTCAACCAGAAAGTGATTTGTGTTTTGTACAAAGTATTTAACTGAATACAGTGAAACAGTGATGAATTTTCAAAGATCTGCAGTACTCATTTTATAGAAGTGCACTTTAAGAGGCAATTTTGTGGAAATACACATATTTCATCTATGCTTCAGAAAAAGTCAAACTTTGTGAGGACTTCTTCTCTCCTTTTTTGTTGCACTCACTGGGTGCAGCAGACAAGTTATGGGGTGTACAAGTCTTTCCTTAGACCTAAAATACAACCAATAAACTCAAAGTTGAGAATTATTATGGTAATTATTTATCCAATTCAAAAGAAAACGGTGGTTAGTAGCAGCAGAGCAGAGGGAAACATGCAAAGCAATAATAAGTTCAGTAGGTCTGATGGGACAGAGAGGCCAGGCAGAGGTTCCAGCTGGAGAGAAAGGCCACATACCAGGGAGCCAGTATCTTGATGGTTTTTAATGTCAAGTACAGCTGTGAATGTTAGCTATGAATATACTTTTTTTTTTTTTTTTTAATAGTTACTCCTTTAGAATCAGGGCTGAAAGTTCAGAAATGCAGTCTTCCTTTTCTGAGATGCCGTGCTTCTGGCAAGCGCACACATTTTACCTTCATAAATTAATTGTGGAAGGCAATTAGTGGCTATCTGATTTTGTCCATGGAGTTCCTGCAGGGGGCTTTTGGTGCAGTGATGCCCTGTGAAGGCTGACCTAGAACAGAGGCTAGAGAGAGTTAAATAATAAAGTAGGGATTTATTTAAAGGCCTCCATCGTTCCACCTTGGGCAGCACAAGAGCCCAGCCAGGGCTACACCCAAGATGAACCAAAATGGGCACAAAATGGATAACCAGTCATGAGGTCTCTCACATTTGTAAATTCTGGTCCATTTGCATATTGGAGTTAATTGTCTAGTTATAGCTTTAGGTTATGAAGTCCCATCCTTCTTGTTTTTCTCTCTTCAGTTCACGTTGTTTGTGCTCTTAGGCCTGAGATCTGGATCATTTGTCCTTGGTCCCCAGCTAGAGAAGGAATTGTTTTGTCTCCCTGCTCTGTGAAGAGACCTCACCATCCCCTCATATGAAGCTCAGCAGTACAGAACCTAAAAAATATAAAAGCTAAAACCTGAGGCATCAGCAGTATAGGAAAATGAATTTCTGATAGCTTTGCTCTGAGAGACATCTAATGCTTGGAAAATATGCGCAAAGTTTTGTGTATTCTCCGGTTCTTTAGGCTGGTATCACTTGGTGGACTTTCACCTCTGACACACCTCTCCACACAAGGTTAATATGCCACTTCAGTGCCAGAAGAAGGGCTGGAATCATGCCAAGGTTGCTTTGTGTGCTTCAAAAACTGCCAGTTTGGTTTTTTTTTTTTTTTGAGGTATTTATACTGGTCTTACTTAAAGTAGATGGTGTTCTTTCTGCCTCATGAGACTCACCAGCAGCACCATCATGAAGACTTTGCAGAGACAGTTGAAGGTGGTAAAGCTGCTAAGTTGATGTTCTTATTTGTTCTAGAATTAAAATCACAAATCTATTTCAGAATATGATGATTTTGTGAATGATTTTAAAAGAAAATAGACCAAAAAACCCCACACCCCACTCTGCCTTACTCTGGATTAAATATATTCAAAATGAAAAGCATTTTGAATAAGGATACTGTCCATTTGAAAATTGTTTTAAATGTCCTATGTGGTCAGTGGTTTGATTTTTTAATTCAGAAGATTCAAAACTCACATTTTTGTATCCCCATCAAAAGCTTTATCAGAAATTCTCCTGACAACCCTATTAGTGATACATATGCAATCATCATCACACTGTATTTAATTGGGACAGATACAAGAGGCATAGCTGTTTCCATGAGAGTTTCCAGCTAAATTACATTTTTGATTGACTTACTTGAGTGGCAAATCTCCATTAGTCAGTTATATACTACATGCTGTGCTATCACTCTCAGGAAAGCAAAAACTCCATTAAGCATTACTAAAGCTCTCTATCAAACAGGTTTTTTCAATTGCATTCATTGCATAATTTCTATTTGAATATTCCCCCATTAAAAAAAAAAAAAAAGAAACCAACCAAACAAAAAACCCACCAGAACTCAATAGTCTTTACTCTTTAAAGTATTATAGCAAAGAACTCAATAGTCTTTACTCTTTAAATTATTATAGTAAATGTCACTCTTTTTAATAAATAGTTTGCTCAAGTATTTTTCAAGTGTTACACAAATAAATAGTCTTCTTTTAATACTTGCAACTAATCTATGTTAGTTTACAAGTAATAATTCTGCTAAAATGAGAAGAAAGAAGATTGGATTACAAGTCCCTTTCCAAAAGAGCCAAATGTGTATATATGGAAAAACATTAAAAAGATGAACTTTATATTAAAGTAAGCAGTATCAGTACATTTACCATATAAATACACTCCTAAGCCCATTCTTTGGTGAATGGTTACTGAAAAGACTGAAAAAGATCCATATCAAGTTAATGAATTCCACTCTGCTGACTTACAGAAAAGAATTTAAAATAGAAAAATCTATATATATTATTCCCAACTGCTTATTAGATAGACTTATCTATAATATATATGTTAGGCACAAATTACATTAAAATAACATTTACAGAACTGCAAAGGAAAAGTTTCACAAGTTAGACAATGGGAGGGGGGAACGAAAAAAATCAAGGTTGGCTGAGTAACCTCAGCTCACCCCTTTAGCACAGGCAGTATTTTCTGATCTTTATATAAACACATGACATAGCAAATGTTTATTATAACATAGCAAACGTTGGAAGCCAGTGAAGAAGAGCAATAGTAGGAAGTTGGGAGACATGGAGCAAGGATAGATCACTGACATTCCCCTTTCAGGTGCTACAAGAGTGATGCTACAGTACAGTCCTGAAGCCAGCAGAAAAGACTGCTGCTCAATTAAACCCCAGACCTGGGAATCCACCAGAGGAATTTGTGGTTTGTAATTCCCAAAGTACAACATAATTAGGTTCAGTGTAATCTGCTTAACATCATAGGTGATTCACTGCCACTGTCAAGGTTAAATAAACCCCAAAACTCCCAGAAGAGTGGTGGTAAATCAGAGGTTAAAAGGTGGGGGGCTTAGAAACACAAAGCAAAGGTTTCAAAGTGTTGATGAATTTTTTTTTGAGGATCATGGCCACCAATTTGCTGAGAGAGAAAACTAATGTCTCTGGGCAAAAGGACTTTAAATTGGCAAGAAAGAATAAAGTCCTCAGGAAGGGGACAGGAAGAAATAGGAAAAACAAAAACCAAACAAAAACAAGCAGCCAGTACACAAGAAAATCAGTAAGATGTATCAATCAAAGAAAAAACAGAGGGCACCAAAATGGGATTCAGCAGGCAGGTAATTTAAGAGTGTTTCTAGATAGTGGCAAGAAAGATAAAATGCAAAACTCAGCAAAATGAAATAATGAGAAATAACGAGAAGCATATGAGGCTACATGAATTAAAATGTTCCAGTGAATCAAAATGTTCTGTTTGGGACAATAACAGGAAAACTCAGAAAACCTTACTGTGGGTTAAAACTAAATAATTGAAATGTTAGCAGAGGAAAAGCCCATGAGACAGAGGAGTGACTACTACATATGTACACACAGGAGGCATCCCCTACTCCAAGGTAACCATTGAAATAGGAAGGGAAATTATCTCTTTAAATCTCTGGGTGTAAATAAAAGCAGAGAGACAAAGAAAGATTTTTCTAAAGATTATCAGCAAAACACACATGAGATGAAGTTCAGAAAGTGACAGTACTGAAATTAGCTGAAGAATCATTAAAAGCAATATTAATTGTAATACAGAAATTATTTTAGTAATAAGATTATACAGAGTAGAATCAATTATTCTCACATTCATTCAGCAGACCTGGTTCCTATGCACAGGGCAGGGAAGATCAGGATCCTGGAAAAGGAAAACTCAAGGAAAAATGCTTTTAAATGCCCTGCCCCCTGGAATACCTGGAATAGGTGAAATTGTAGCTTCAATGGCCTGCAAATACCTCCTGATGTCATAAATTCTGCACTTTCTGAGGCAGGAGTCTCTTGAAGGATCAAATTTATCTTGTTTTGTATCCAAATCCAGACAAAATCTTCATGCAGCTAGACTATCTTCC